TATATATATATATATACATATCCTGAACATATATAAAATAAGATGGAAACAGAAAAGCTACAAATGCACATTGGTGACCTCCAAGAAAAGGAGTCAATATATTGTCTCTGAATGTCAATATAAACTGAGTGACATTGCATGACAGAGAACAGAGAACAGGCTTGCAGCCATATTTTGAGGAAGCAGCCTAGTATCCAGGCCTTCTCTAGAAGAGCGAAGCATTCGCTCTCCCAGGCCCTGTGGGTGACAGGGAATCTGAAGCACCAGGGTATGTTAAGTTTGGACTGCCCTGGGACATGACTAAAAAACTAATGGAAAAATCAGCAGGCCTCTAGGAAGGTTGACAAAATGATGGAAAAATCCCAGATTTTTAGAGGTTAAAAAAAAAGGTGGGGGAAGGGATGGTTGTTGGTTATATAACACCCAGCCCTCCAAACAATGGAGCGATCATTAAAGAGCCAATAAGAATACATCAGTTCTCCTCCCCATTCGTCCGTTCCACCAGTCTAAGAACAGCTAAGAAGTCAGTTACTACAGAGTGAGGGGCCCTTCAGCTAACCAGGGACTGTGGCTTCTGAGGAGGGAAAACTGCAGCATCCTCAGCTCATTGCATGAAGCTAAACACACAAATCAATCGACAAATATTTTGTGAATTACACTTTTCCAAATTGAACCAACTTTCCTCCCTTCAATCCCATCCAAGACAAATTTATAAACTTGAACTCTATGAGTTTTGTTTTGTGTATTTGTCCCCTCCATTGAATTTATGGCTCTAAGAAAAGGACTTTACTGATGATAGAAATTGGCCAGGGCAACATGTGGAAAATGTAGGCCAGGCCTGATGGAGAGGCGGTAGGGCTACTGCAAACACAGCTGAGGAGATTGGTGAGGAGGTCCTGGATTATCTTTGAAACACGAAAGCTGGAGCAGCGTGATGCCCACATGAAATGATGGCCAAGAGCAAAGGAGACAACACAAAGCCTGAGGAGGGTTCACTGAGCCCATCCAGCACTCTGGCATTCTTGGTTGGGCCAGGAGGATTGAGTGGATACTTCACACAAGTTTCTGCTTTCTGTCAGAGGAGCCAGCATTTCCAGATTCTCACTTGTTCTCTCTGAAGGAAGCATCTGGAACTACTTTCACTTGTCCACCTTAATGCCACCTCTAAAAATCTAGTCCACATGTAAGCAGACACAGCTGCACAGGGGCCTTCTGGGTAGCACCTGGCTCTGTCCCTCTGGCAGTGGGATTTAAGTGCTGGATCTCCTGGAAAGAGCTCACAGCCCAGCTAGAGGAAACTGTCCCACACACCCGAGACACTTGACTTGATCTCCAGTAGAAGGCATTCCATTGTCCTTGGACCCAAAAGATACAAAAGGGAAAGTCAGAACTTTCCTACATTTGCAAAGTTCAGAATTTAAATGAAAAAATAATCAAACTCCCTTATGTTTCTGAGAAGTGAGTAAAAACCCACAGCAAGATGCAGGGTGTGGAGGCAGAAGCAGGTAGGCAGCTCTCTTGGAATCTGCAGGGCAAGCTGAGCCAGCAGCATTTTGAATGCTGGCAAACACCTGCCCATGTTCCACTGTGGCACAACCCAGAACCACCTCATACTAGTTCAAGTGAAATGTAAAACAAGAGTTTCTATTCACTTATATGTAACTCAAGGTTAAGGGCTGTTCAGTTTCCAAGAACCCTTCAAAGGTGTTTCATGTGTCTTTTTCTATCATTCTTCTGAGTTCTCTGAAACCGAATGGCTCATACCAACAACGTCACACAGAATGTAGCTTGAGGTGGCTTTGGTTCAGCAAACCTACAAGCTCCGTCTCCCACTGTTCTCAAAAAGTGATGCAGAGAAGACTGGAGTGTCTGGGACATGCAGGTAAGGCAGTGAGGGAC